CTCCCTCAGCTTCCGGTTCGCGGCCGCGGCGGGCAGCACGTTCGACGCCGAGCTGCGGCCCGAGGACTACTGCCAGGGGGTCGGGAAGGTCCACGAGCGACGAACACATAAATATCCACGCGAGCACCGTGGTACAGTCAAGGTGCCGAAATAAGGACCACGTTGGGTTCAGAAGGGGTCATGGCTTTCGGGCCATTCAGATTTGAGTATTGGACTTTGTTGTTGCTCAGGCTCGCCGTGGCCAGAAAAGCCCCTTCGTTCTTCATTCGGCGTTTCTTATGGTAGCACGATGACTGTAATTATCCCCATCCCTAGTGGACTAGGGTCCCTCGACGCCACTAGCCTACCGCTCCAGGTTGGCATTGATGCCACGGACCCCGGCGGACACGGCATCCATCCCCATCTATGGTAGGGGGGTAGGTCTGGGGGAGACAGGCCTATCGGTGTGGACCATGCCCTGGCGGTCTGGACACCGAGGCGCGATCCCATGGATTCGCGATCCCATGGATGCGCTCCGCGCATGGGATCCTTGCAGAGCTGTCGAGCAACTGCGCGATCGCGGCCGGGGAGTCCGACCTGCGAGGGCGCGGGTATGGAAATGTGGCCCGCCCACGAGAGGTCTGCGTCGTCGGTATCCAGCCGATGCAGCTGCCGGCCGCCGTCGGGCCGATGTGGGTGCCGCGAGCACACCAAGTTGCCTTTGAATAGTTGGGATGAGTTCGTCGTGCGAGTTAGCCTTTTTTGCACTTTCGCAGGGCCTCGTCAGTGCGTAGTATTTGCATGCTGTGCCGGCTAGACCCATCCTGGGCTCACGATCGGTGTATGTAAGCCAGTGTCCAGGGTTCCTGCGTCCCCCCCCCCCTAGATTGGATTGGTCTCAGGTTTCCTGCATCGCCTACAGATGGTCTGCGGAGGAGGCGAAGGCTGGCCTGGAGCGCGCGGGAGCTGCTTACAGCGCAGGGGGTCTGGGCTGCCAGGAGAGGTCCAGAGGCCGTCGTCTTCGCCGTTGTCTTCGCGAAGAATGAGGCTGCCTGCTTGCTTTCCAGCTTGCCAGCTCATCCCGCTGCCGCCTGTTTGCCTGCTTGCTTGCTGCCCCTCCTCTTCCTCCTTCTCCTCCTCCTCCTCCTCATCCTCCCCCTTCTCCTCTCGCCTATCCCTGGGCCCTGTGGCTGCTGGTCTTCGCTTAGACTCCCGCAGGGGGGTAGTTGCGCCCGAGTCCAGGACCTTGGCGAATGTTTGCCCCACGTTCGTCGGCCACGCGGCTGAGACTGCTGTATCTCATGCTTCACATGCTGTGATACAGTTATTGACTTGGCCGTTTGATGCGGAGTGCAGCGCATCATGCCGGCAGCCACATGCAGGACGTGCTGTTCTTGACAATTCCCTATCTTCCGTTTTCTGGCTTGTCCTGTCTTCCTCCTCCTCTTCCTCCTCCCAGTCCCGCTCTGTTTGCTTGTGCTATCCCCTGAAAGGCTAGGTCCGTCCACCCTGGCCGACACCCACAGGCGGTAGCTGGTCAATATTGGGTAAACCGGCCTATCCGCAACTTTTGGCCCTTCCCCTGTTCCTCCCTCCTATCCCTCCTTTCTCATGCCGTGGTGAGCGCATTGCCTGTGCTGTTTGGGGCTTTGAATGCGGGACTGTCGCAGTTCTGTTCGTCAGGCTGGGGACGATACGTTTGAGGGTTAATTCATACCATGAGCTAGGAAACGTTCACACTATGCGAATATAAGCAGTCGACTGATGCTCAACCCACAGTCTTCTCCTAAGGCTGCATCACGGCTTCGTTGCGAAGTCGTAGCGCGTCGATTTTCTGGGCAACGGACTTGCCAGCCATCCGCTAACAGTTCGGCGGCCTACACGGACACAAGGAAGAGGATGAGGTTGAGGAGGAGGATGAGGATGAGGAGGAGGAGGAGGAGTAGCAGCAACAGCAGAAGCAGCAGGCGACGATGAGGATGAAAACAAACATGAGGCTGAAGAAATGGAGAAGGTGTTTGAGGAAGAGCAGCAGCATGCGAGGACGAGGATGAGCCCCGCCCCCCCACGGCAGACACAGTCACACACAGGGGGGGGGGAGCCGCGCTCAATCGAGCACATCATCTTCTTTCATCCCGCACCCCACCCACAGGGGGGAGGGGAGGGCGATCGTCGCCAAATCGAGGCCCTCACGGCCCTCGCCCTCCTACCCGCAAGTCCATCAAGCGGGGGACATACACATGGGAGGGAAAGGGAGCCAGGCCCTGGACACTGGACCTTCTGTTATATGCATCTCTGGCCAAGCCATGAGGGCGCATACACCGATTTTGGGGCCTAGGACGGACCTGGCCAGGGTCGGCCCGAATATGCACAGTTTGCGTTGGCCCTGGTTCGACCAGCTTCATACTTGTTCAGAGCAGTGGCAGAACGCCCGTGCCAAGGTGCTCGGCCAGACCGCGTTGCGCAGATACTATTCCGTCTACGACGCCCAGCGGTGGCGCGTTGGGCTCGGCTTGGCGAAGCATGCCGCCGCAAGGCGCTCACCGGCCGCACCCGCGGAGGCGGCGGAGACGGGTGCGGAGGCGTGCGAGGACTGCAAGATCAAGCACAACAGAGCCTGTCGTTTGGGCCCCACCGCCAGCCCCAAAGGCGAGCGTACATCGGGCGTGGCCTCGTAGGAGCTGCCACATGTGTGTGTGTGTGTGTGTGCTGTGTCTGTGTGCGTGTGCGTGTGTGTGTGTGTGTTTGTGTGTGCATGTGTGTGTGATTCATGTGGCGCGCCATGGCGAGGGCTGTGCCTTAGATTGCGCCCTACAGTTAGGTGAATAATTTGGTAGTGAAAATGCTGACCAGGTGGGGCATTGGTTAGTGGTGGTGGGGGAGTGTGCACTGGAACCAATCTGTCTTGAAGGCATGAGGCGCTGGAACCACTATCCCCCGTAAATGTTGGACGCTGGAATCGACGCCTCGGGTCGTTGGAACCACCAGCCCTCCCTAGAAAGTGGGCGCTGGAACCCATTTGTCTTGAAGGCATGCGGCGCTGGAACCATTATCCCCTGTAAATAAGGGAGCTGGAACCGACGCCGTGGGGCGCTGGAACCACCGTCCCTCGTACAAATTTGGCGCTGAAGGCCAGCTGTCTTGAAGGCATGACGCGCTGGAAACGTTTTTTTTTTCTCTTAGATATTGGGCGCTGGAACCTCACCCCGCTTAAGGTCATAAGAGTATCACTCGGATGGGGGGAAGGGGTAGGAGACAGGCCCGGGGGCCCGGGGGGGTCCTAGCATTGTAGTCACGCCTCGTTCCCAAGCGAGGCCTGTTCGCACGCGCTGGTGCGCGTGCGCTGTATCGGTCGGTCGGTCCGGTCGGTCGGTCGGTCCAGTCGTCGGCCGGTCGGTCCGGTCGGTCGGTCGGTCGGTCCGTCGTCGTTCGTCGTCGTCTCGGTCGGTGGGGCGGTCCGGTCACTCCGTCGGTCCCGTCGTGGGTCGTCGGTGTGTCGGTCGGTCCGTCCGTCGTCGTCGTTCGTCATCGTCGTGTCGGTCGGTCGGTCGGTCAGTCGGTCGGTCTGTCGGTCCCTCTGGTCGTCGGGGCATGTTTGCACGCGTGGAGCGCGTTCGATGCCTCTGTCGGTCGGTCCAGTCGTCGGTCGCTCGGTCGGTCGGTCCGGTCGTCAGTCGGTCGGTCGGTCGGTCGATCGGTCATCGTTCGTCGTCGTCTCGGTCGGTCAATCGATACGTCGGTCGGTCCCGTCGTGGGTCGTCGGTGTGTCGGTCGGTCCATCCGTCGTCGTTCGCGGTCGGTCCGTCTGGTCGTCGGTCTTCGGTCGGTCGGTTGGTTTCGTCGTCGTCGTCGTTCGTCGGTCGTGTTGGTCGGTCGTCGTCGTTTTCGTCGTCGTTTTCGTCGTCGGTCGTCGGTCGTTTGGTCGATCCCTCAAGTAGGCCTCTTGGGCCAAACAGGCTACGGATGCAATGGTGCCCCCATGACGCCTCCGATACGTGCATATGCGCTCTAGTACTTCACTGCCAACAATATCCGTAAGGGCTTCGCCCCCTGCTGCCGGTCCCCTCTCTCGGAGAATGGGCCACGGAAGAGCGAAGTCAGAAGGCTTTGGCTTCGGCGTGAAGCAGTGTCGGGATCTGCTTGTTTTTCGACCCTGACCCTACGGATCTGCGTGAGGGGTGCCGCCGAATTTCAGAAATGTGGCAAATCCCATGTGTTTTTGGACCCTGACCCCGCCGATCTGCATGAGGGGTGCCGCCGCATGTCAGAAATGTTGCAAATCCCATATGTTTCCGGGCCCTGACCCTGCCGATCTGCGTAAGGGGTGCCGCCGAATGTCAGAAATGTGGCAAATCCTATGTGTTTTTGCACCCTGACCTCGCCGATCTGCATGAGGGGTGCCACCAGATTTCAAAAGTGTTGCAAATCTCTTATGTTTTTGGACCCTGACCCCGCCGATCTGCGTCAGAGACATTGCGACAGAGGCAGAGAGGGAAAGAAAGAGAAGGATAGACAGAGAGGGACAGACGGGGAGGAGGAGTAGGAGGAGGGCAGGAATACCACCACCGTCGTAAGAGAATGTTGGTAAGAATGGCTGCTGAGAGGGGGACTGGCCACACATACGTATATGTATGTATCACTAAGACATGTCTCATGTACAAACCTGTATAGATGCAACATGTATAATATCAGCTCTAAGGACAGCGGCGGCCTGAGCCACGTCCCCGGCTGCCACGCGTTCGCGAGCTTCGGCTGGTGCTCCCGCCTCGAGCCCATGGCGCATCGCTTCTGCCGCCTCTCCTGCGGGCGCCGCCGAGGGTGTCCAAGCGCTTGGCTCCCTAGACATCTTTCTCGCCTCCTCCATCTTTTTCTCCTCGATCCTGATCCCCTCCCGCGGCTGCTTCCTCACCCCATCCCTCCGATGACGTCTTCTTTGCCCTTCTCCTTCACCTCCCTCTGGAGGACCACAAACTTTCCAGACCTCTCCCAGGGCACGCTCCAACTAGGATTCCGGAAGAGGTGGCGAATGAGGAGTTCACGTTCCGCACAGTGCATACGTTGGCCAGCATGGGCACCAAGCAGTGTGTTATTGCATTGTGTAGGTGACAGGCGGTGGAAGTTCTTTCAATCAAGCTATGCGCCGTGAGCAAGGGGTGAAAGCTATGCGGTGTGGTGTAAGCTATGTCGTGGAAGCTATGCGGTACAAGCTACTTTGTGTAAGCTATGTGGTGTAACCCATGTGGTGCAAGCTATGTGGTGTAAGCTCCGCGCACGGGGCGCCAACGAGCGCCCACAAAGGCGGGTGGCAACGTGGCGAATCCTCGGGGAAGCTACCCAACGTAGGGCCGCCCATGAGGCTGCATGGGCGGCAACGTGGCGAATCCTCGGGGAACTCAGCCAGCGTACGGGGCGACCACGAGGCGGCACGGACGGCAATGTGGCAGACCCAGAGAACCCACCCGGGTTCCTTGAGCAACATGAGTAAGTATCTTGAGTGCAAGCATCGTACGACAGTGAATCCATACATGCATATATGCAGGTACAGACATATACATATATATATGTATATGTATGTATGTCTGTACATCTACACATGCACCTAGACGCGTATATATATATATATACATGCATTTGCATACGCACCTCTCCGAGGGAGTAGAGCTCAGAGGTTGTGTCGTTCGCTTGTTTTGAAGTTTTGCTCGGGACGTCCTCCACGTCCTGCAACTCGGACGTGCCCCTCACTGAGATCGCACTGCTACAGTTCAAACATACAACTTGTTTCAACTATGTTACCGGACAACCTTCAAAGACACAATGGAGATCAATTGGTCTGATCCCAATTCTTCGGTCATGGCAGTTTCGCCTGAGACGTCCTCCAAACATGGAGCCCCGACGTGCACCAGCCATAACATACGCACAGAACGCACACACACACACACACTACGCATAACCCACACACACACACACACACACACGCACACACACAAACACACACACAAACACACACAAACACACACACACACACACAAACACACACACACACACCCACACGCACACGCACACGCACACGCACACGCACACACACACACACACCCATACGCACACGCACACGCACACACGCACAACACACACGCACGCATCGAACACGCACACAAACAGCACACATAACAAAACTTACCTGACACATGCATACAAAAGCATAACACACATAACTCACACATAACACGCACATATCACACACAACACAGACACCACTCGCACACAACACAGCACGCATAACACACACCTCTTTCACCACACACGCACACAACCTGCATACGTGGTTGTCTGAGCCTGGGCACGCACGTGCCACTTGTATGCACCAATAGCTTCATACATGCACACCCGTATTATTGCGCACACCACTTTCATGTGTAAGCTAGCGTGGGTCCGAACTAGTGAGTTCTGACACTATGGAGGTTGCAGCCAGGTGGTGTACGACATGTCGTGTACGCTATGTCGTGTGTGCCATGGGGGCGGCATAGATATGATGTGTAAGTTAGGTCATGATACTTATTTGTTGTAAGTTGCGAAGTCTCAACTGGAGGACGAAGCTATGCGGTCCAGGCTATGTATGAAGTTAGGGTGTGCCATGTATGCCGTGTAAGAAATGTGGTGATAGTTGGGTGTGATAGCTACGCGGCCTAAGTTGTGTTGTGTAAGCTATGTAAGCTATGTTGTGTAAACTTTTGCGGTGCAGGCTATGTGGTGCAAGCTAGGTCGGGCAAGCTGCACGGGGTAAGCTCAGCGCACGGGGCGTCCAAGAACGCCCACGAGGTGGCACGCGCGGCAACGTGGCATATCGTCGGCAACCCCCCTCAGCGAACTGGTCGACCACGAGCGCAAGCGAGGCGACACGGGCGGCAATGTTGCGCATTTTCGGTAAACTCCCCCAGCGCACGGGGCGGCCACGAGCGCACACGAGGCGGCACGGGCGACAATGTGGAGGAATCGTTCACCTTCAGAAAGAGAAGTAAGGACCCCTGAGTGCAAGCACTGCTTAGTAATAACTACGATGTGTGCGCGTGCGTAGGCTTAAACCTAAATCGCCTTAAAGTGGGAAGCACACATACCAATATATATATATATATGTGTATACGTATACATTTATACACGCACATTCGTAAATGCGTGTGTCTGATGGGAGGAGTCGGGGGGCAATCACCGCCACGGCTGAAATCTAACTTACATTCTGGAGGACGGTTTTGACAGGAATGAGGAAGCGGATGATCGGGGAACGCGAGGCGAATCCGGCCATGGCAACGAGGGACCCCCAAGAGGCCCAAGAAGCCGCCAGCGAGCGAAGAGCGCCGGCATCAGTGTGCGTATGTGTTGCCCATATTTCAGGATCCGCTCCAAGTCGCCCCCCCCCCAGGACCTCTCCTGGGGTCCATGCTGGCCAGTTTCCCGAGCTGCGTCGCGCCGTGGCGGCGAGCATCTCCAGAAACGCCCGAAGACCCACGAATCGAAGACATCGTTATCGTCGTCGTCGTCGTCGTCGTCGTCGTCGTCGTCGTGGTCGTCATCGTCGTTGTCGTCGTGGACGTTGTCGCCGTCGTCGTGGTCGTGATCGTGGTCGTGGTCGTGGTCGTGGTCGTCCTTATCGTCTTTTGCTGAGCCCCCCCCCCCCCGAGGCTCTGCTCGCCTCCGCCGCGGGGCCCCGCGGCGGGCGCGGAGGTCTGAGGGCGTCGAACACGCGCGCGCGCCAGGGCGCGA